GCTGCGCCTGCCACGAAATCTGCACTTCGAGGTTCACAGAATGCTGCGCCTGCCACGAAATCTGCACATCGAGGCTCACAAAATGCTGCGCCTGCCACAAAATCTGCACATCCAGGGTCACAGAGTGCTGTGCCTGCCACGAAATCTGCAAACGAGCCACATATCAAAAAGTCACGATTCCCTGCACCTGTCACGAAATCTGAGCTCCTCGACGATCACCACCATGTCCAAAGTGCTGCACCTGCCACGAAAACTGCATTTCGAAGTAAAACAGCTCCGATAAAAAATCGACTTTGGAGTACCAAAACACGCGGTTTTCCTTGCGCCTGTCACGAAAAGTGACCACCATGTACCAAAATGCGCACGGCACCACAACGAGAGCGCAGTCGCCAGAAGCACCCGCCTCGGCCACCCAGATTCTGCGAGCCTGTGCAGTCGAAGTGCACATTGACGATATCGAGAACCATGAATTATATTGTAAATAGCTGCGAATTGGCCGGTCATGCCCGCGCGCTTCAGCGATCTAAGCATCAGCTGCCTTTCCCTTACCGTAAGAAAGAACCCCTCAGTGTGCCCACACTGTTTGGGGAAAAAATCAAAACAAGAAATTCCAAAAGTCAAAGTCAAAAAACAAATCAAATCAGAAAGTTTGAGAAAGTCAAAAAAACAGTGATCAGTTTGCCCAGATCCGTTTATTTATTTATGTTTTTCCGAATATTGACGTTTTTGTTGTTGTTTTGACATTTTTCGACCTTTTTGTCTGTTTTTTCAATTGATGTTTATGCTTTTGTTGACTGTTTCGAGCGGTTTTCTAATGTTGATTGTTGTGACCTTAATTGACTTTTATTTGTTGAAAACAGGCTCTCTCCAATGAAAGAGCTTTTGTAAGTTTAAACGAAACAAACACATGTCAAATCAGTAATTATCCTTCTCATCCGTCCCCAAACATATGTCGCCCCAAACCTCCCCTGCCCACAAACAGTGGCTGATGGAGTCGGTGTGGAGATTTTTTCAAAAAACTTTGAGTCGAAACGTCTTCTTTGAGTCGAAACACAGCAGGCAAGCCCGCTGGTGAGACGAAACGGAGAGTCGAAATGAACGTACCGTAAGAGTCAGGCTGTGAGGGGTTTGGCTGATTGGCTGAAGGAAAGAAATCTACAAAAACACAACAGCAGGGCACAAATCTGGTGAGTGCTTGCAAGCTGAACAAATGTCTGGCTAAGCGTGCAAACCCAATTATAGCAAACCTCCCTATAAATCAAAGATGCCCTCGAGTACAAACTAAAGTAAACACCATTTCCCAGCCTACCCCTCCTGCAGCCTCTAACCTAGCGGATCTCTCCAACGTTTGTCCGACTCCGACTCATCCACCACCGTTCAGAGGCCCCCAGGGCGATGGGTTGGGGTACTGCCAATAGCCCCAGGGCGATGGCGCGCCCCACGGCGATCGGCCGCCTGCGCGTCGACGCACTCGCGAGCCGGGTGCCCGAACACGAGCTCAGGCGGAGCTGAGCGAGTGGATGCACGAGCTAGGGCGAAGCGCCCCGATAGGGTCATGTTGTTTCAATGGAAAAGAGAACTATCCGGGACCTATAGATCCTACCAGGTGAATCAAAAGGGCGTCTAATGATTTTTGATGCTCACCTATCTGCAAGGGGCGTCTAATGAGCACCCCTTTCCTTAGGCTTAAGGGGTGACCAATGAGCACCCCTTGGTTTCCTCACATTTTGACCACTGACACGGAATGACACGGATTGACACGCAGGCGGCTGACGTCTCCAGCGACCCGAATCCCAAATCCTGTCCATTCACAAGTATCCCTTAAAAAGTTGTGATTTTATACGAGGATCCCTCAAAAGCACTTGTCAAACACTAAGGATTTCTAAGGGGTGTCCAATGGTTCTTAGCTTAAGGGGCGTCCAATGGACACGGTTTTGATCTACCTGGTATAGATCCTATAGATCCGGTGTAGAGCAAAACAAACGCCGATACACCGGTGCGCGACACTACACCGGCGTTTGGCGCGCGATCCACCGGTCACCGGGACGGGTCGTCTTCGGGTTCGATCCGTGAACGACGCGATGGAGGGCTACTCGGGGCCCATAACCGCCGCTGTCAGAGTCAGGTAGGGGTTGCCTAAAACAAAGCAGGAAAGACAAACCAAACCAAACCGTTGTTTAATCCTGTTTAATCAAACCAAACTTAAAGAAAACCAAACCGTTACCCGAGCCCGGTCTGTCTAGTCAAGTCACCGACACAGGTGCTCGGCGGCTGTCTCATCGCGGCCGCGGCCCACAGCTGTTCGGAATACAAGGGATCCTCTGAGTCAAGCACCGACTCCAACAAGAGCCCACGTCGACGTGAGAAGCATGTTCATGTTAGTTTTGGATGGTATTTAGAGAGGGTAGTTCATGTTCAAAATGCTACCGCCTTGCTTTTGTCATGTCTAACCATGTTGAAGCACACTCTTAGCTTGATCAAGTATGCTTTTCAATGACCACCACCGCACGTCAGGTCAGCGTCAGACGCTGGCTCCTCTGTGAACATTAGAAGGGTGTTGACTGTAAAAAGGGATACCTTGAGTCTATCCTATTACCTGTAACAGTGGATGATGATGGTTAGTAGAGGCCTTGTTCAAACTTCGTAATTTGCTTGTGAAACCTGACTGTTGCAGGTCAGTTCGGACTGACTCCAAAAAGGGATGCCGTTCAACCACACCTTGCCCAGTCCTTGAGCTGAAGGCTCGTCAGATCGGCACCGGCGTTGCCCCGCTGTCCGTCGCCGTCGCCGTCGCGGGAAGACACGCCTGCCGCACGACGCGTCGTGAAAAACGCGGCGAAGGTCGTCCGCAGCAGACGCGGCGGAGAGTGGAGGATATCCGTTGTTGCACTGCGATATTCACAGATTCACAGGTCTTGTAGTGGATTCACTTTTAATGCATTTTTCCAGATGTGCTGGGAGTAGCCTAGGCCTTCATCACACATGTCTCTAGGTCGATATGGGCGAAACAAGCCACACACTACGCTAGCTTGGAAGGGTCTGAAAGGGCTGAACTGTGTCTCACTGCTGCGCAATCTGGTCCTTTAGTTCCGGTTTCTTGACCAAACACCATGCCTGGATCATCCATCTCGGCCAACTGCAGTAGCCTTGGATATCCGACCATTCTCCGACATCTGACACCCAATTGGAGCCTCCACCCTCTATAGGGTCTCAAACATTCCCTTGGGCTCTTCTTTACATTTCTTTATGACCTGCAGCCACCTACAAGTGGCCCCTTAATTCAGGGACCGCACTTCTCATCGTGTCAGGTATATGGCAAAAGGCTTCTGAGTTCCTTGAATTCTTGAATGGGTATCGCTGTATCACCTCTATAACGAACATGGCCATGGTATCTCCATGGTATCTCCTCTCCGTCGACTGGATCAGTCTCACAAATCCATGCCATGAGAATGCCACCCCAAAACCGGCACCCGAAACCGCCGTCCATGCAGGACCGACTCGATCTCATTCGACCCACGTTCTGCCTGAAACCGTGGTCGCAGTGGTCGCATGTCGTCGCCGCACTGAAGAACCCCGAAACCGCAGCTGCATGTCTCAGCACCACCGTACACCAGCCTTACCGCCTCGAAGACAATTTTGGTTCGCCCGACATCGGGCGCAGCCTCACCGGAATAACGCTGCAAACCCGCCCCACCGCGCCCGCCCGTTGGCGGCGTTCGCTTCGTCCGTCCAGGGCGCTGCCTGACCTGCGGCCCTTTCGCATGCTCCAGGACTCTTCGGTTTCGTCGGTCGCTGCGGTGCACCTCCGCGCGGGCCTGCCATGCTGCTGTTTCGTGGCTGTTTCTTCTCCCAAAAAGACATAGCCTCTGACACCTTCTGACACTGGGTCAAGTGATCTACGTTTCTGCACCGTGTTTTCACACAAGATGTTGGACGCAAAGATCTTGGGATATCTTGGGTATCATTGTGAACATAGTTTGGGTCAAAGGTTCTTGATATGCCTCCTTCGGACAAAACAAATACAGGTCCGAAGTTTCAAACATGAACATAGACGATCATGGAAGTATGAGGCTCCACTTAATGAAGCTGCGTCGAAAATCATCGAAACCTTGATATCTATTCTGTGTCTTTCTGATGTGAGGAGACTTCTGCCTTCTGTGGCTACATGGCTCCATCCATTGATCTGCGAACCATGTGACACAACCATGTGACACAACCATGTGACACGACCACCATGGGTCCTGTGAACGTGCCATTTGATGCTCAAACTCCACGTTTGACGGGATCTTGCTGGATTCTACTTCGCAACTTCGCAAGCCCGGCGAACACCCAGAGAGTGTCTCCGGCAGAGCAACTCGCACGGGGAGAGTCACCTGCAACAGCAGCTGGCAATGGGCGACAGAGCCTCTTTGAGCTGCAACCATCAGTGGTGTCTCCTGCGCTGCGCTTTTGGGCAGAAGCGGCGCAGCAGAAAGAGATTTCACAGGTGGGAAAAAACAAAACACCTGTCACTGTATGAGGAGTCTATGACAAATATTTATATGTTTTTGGGTTAGCTGCTTGCAAAGTACCCTGATTGTCCATCTACAGCTCAACAAGTCTAGCTCCACTAGCACTCGATCTCTTATACCACCTCATGACGCCTAGCAGGTGAGTGAACAACGTAGAGTAAACTCTGAGTGGCCGAAACTGCCTATCTTGTGATTGATCCCCCATCCCAGCCATCGGGTGTATTGGTGAACCCAAAAGGCCATTAGCGCGAGTTCACCCCATAAACGGGGCACAGCGAGCTTGCTCTGCGTGAACTTCCCGAAGCCGCAGCGGAGTGGCAGGAGCGGAATGAGCGGACACAAAAAAAGCTCTGGAATGACTCATTCGTAAACATACATATATGTAAACATGCAGTTTGAATCACTTCAACTGAAAGATTGCATTTCATTGGGCAGTCCACTATGCGAGAATCACAGCAATCTTCTGACAACATGATTAGTGTTGATAACATGTTGAAAGGAACTAATCCGTGCTCTCGCAGGGCTTGCAACCCTGCACCCTGGTTTATCTCAGTGTTTCCCATCCCGATGGCTCTCCATCCAATCACCCCATCTCACCCCCCGCAGTGAAAAGATTGACCGCGCAGGATTCATCGCGTGAAAGACCATGCGTCGCCTGCGTGATGGGCAAGGCGTCCACCGTCGCTTGTGCGCCCAGAAGCAGCTGAATACACTCGCTGCCTGCGCGCTTCGGCTCTCCGCGTGCTTCGGGCTCTGCGCCGCGTGATCAGCACGCGGACGAAGCAAGGCAGGTAGAGGCAAAGGGATGACTCGAATCAACATCATCTGATTTGTGGATGCAATTTCTGAAGAGTGGTACAATCCCTCGGATTCCGACGGAGCTTCGGAGTTGGACACCCTGTTTGTTCACAAAGTCAGTAGACCTAATTCAGGGTACATCAGAGTAGAATTTGGGACAAGCCCATGAATGAAATGACAGAAACCCTAAAAAACCGCCACGGAAGGGCCGCATGGCCTTCATTGATCCAACAAGGGTGGGAGATCCAGTCCTAGTTGGCACAGTATCCATCCAACAAGTCTATATTGAGCCTAATGTAGAAAACTAATAAAAACTTTTATATGACTTTGCTCAGTGAGATTTTGTATAATTAGCAAAGAAAATATACACAAAACAAAAAAATATACACATTATAGGACCATCATTTTATAAGTCTATGCAACACAACTAGGATCCCTTCCAGATCTCTCCCCTGATCTCTCCGCCCGGACTCTCGTCCCCCCGGACTATCCGCGCCAAGGCGCGTTGCTGCTCGGTGCCCTTGACGCCTTTGGCGGTCAACCAGAGCGGCGTGGCACCGCTGCCATCGCGCTCCTGGCCACGGCAAACGACCCGAGGGGATATACATCCCGGTAAACAGGGCACCCGGCTGGAAGGTGCCAGGTCTTAAACCTATGCAACGTTGGAAGTGCTAGCTGCTAGCTATACACATACTTACCTGCTAAGACGTTCGTCTTTTTCCGAACGTAAGGATGGGAAACGAGTGGGTCACAAGGATCTCCGACCGGTCGCACCGGTCGCGGGATCGGTCCGACACAACACGTTTATGAGTAACATGTTAACACGAATTGTTAAACACTCATTTGGACACATCCATTGTCACTAATGGATGTGTTCAAATGAGTGTGACTGTCAAAAAAAATATGAGGTAGTGATGGGTACAGTATGGTACAGGCTTTGTGAGTAAAGCCACTGAGCTGCGCGGTGTTCGCCTCCACATCTGCACCTTCCTGCAGCCACTGGCGCAGCGTGTCGGGCAGCGCCAGCTCCGCTGAACCTAAGGGCGGAGCGAGTTCCCTCAGTGACGTCCGAAGTCTTAAAATATGTGCAAAGATGTGGGATGAGTGTTGTCATCATCACCTCTATAGGCATACCTGGGGCATACCTTGCAGTTGATATCCCTTCGAGTTGCCTGGCAAGTCTTTAAGATACACCTCCTGCAAAATCTGCTAGTTCCCAAGCCTTTAGAACTTTAGGACTTGGAGTTCACCCCAAACCCCCAAATCCAAACATTCACCTTGAAAGCGAGTACGCCTCTCGCTTGACTCCACACCGTATCGCGCGAGGGGTGCGATACGCGCGCCAAAGCGCGATACGGTGTGCACTTGCGTCTACCGAGAACCATCGGACGTCCGTTGCCGGGCTTCTGGTCAAGAGGCGTTGGATGGAATGTCTTCCACCGATGCTCCGTAGCAGCTGAGCACAGGCCTCGTGGCCCTTGGCCTCTGCCGCGTCCAAGGCAGTGCCGCCGTGCCTAGGACGCAAGAGGATGTTTCGGCGCATCGGGTGGTTATGTTGCCATGGAGCTGATCCTGTTTTTTTTTGTTTCCGTCTTCTTGAGTCATTGGAGGTGATATGAGGTGATGCTGATGTGAAAAAAAACGTGTGATACATCGAAGATGGTCATTGGATGGGACCCGGTGGATGGTGATTGGAGATGTGACGCTGAGCGAGAAGAAGGACCATTCATTCGTCCAATCCCTAGGGATCCAGTCGTACCGAACCTCAGGTATGGTGAGTTGTCTATCTGTTCTTGAGACCGCCCAGTCGTTGGATCGGAGCGTTTGCACTTGGAATGTCACTGCATAAGTCACGACCTTCTGACCTTGTGGGTCTCGCAAAGCCGGTCTGAGGGTATGAGATTCCTGTCAGTAAGAAACAAACAAAGCAAACACGAAACAAAACACCCTTCCACTACACTTTGGATATGCCAAACACGCATGAGAAATGCAACACTGTGAGATGATTCTTTATGGATTCCGTGAGAGGAATCTGTCATTGCACAGAAAATCCAATCAAATCGAGAAGCTGGAAAAAACACAAAAACAAACAGGTCATACAACATATGTATATATATAACCATTATAATAGGGCATTATATGACACAACAGGTGTAACAACTAACAGGTCATAGAACTATACTATTCATGGACAGTTGTTACCCAACCCGGCCTCACCAGGCCAACCCAAGTGCCAACAGTTGAGCGGCTTGGAGGGCCGCGCATTGGGTGAGGCCCAACAGTTGGAGCGAACACGGCCAGTGGAATCCAGCAGCAAAAGCTCCAAGCACTTCAAGTTGCCTCACCAGCACCAGCGGAGGCATGGTGTCTGAGTTCACTTCAGGTGGCTGTGCTCTGATTTTTACAACCGCTTTCTTGTCTCCTTGAAGCTGGGTCTTCTTTTTTCGCTTGCCCAATGGTGTAAAGTGAGCCGTTTTTTTTCAGGAGACGTGACGTCCGAACCAGCAATCAACTGAGCTGGGACCTGCCTGTGGACGCTGCCTCATGGAGTAAGGCATTGGCGGCTCCTGGGGCCAGGAGCAAGCGAAGCATAGCGGTTCTTTTTCCAAAAAAAATCATGGATGGCATGCAAGGTACAGTTCTGTCCCTCATATCGAGAAAACTTAATATATATATATATATACATCTATAGAATATTATATACTTATAGAATTGATTCTTTTACATTGTAGACTTTTGATTCATCTCACCCCCCCCGCCCTTCCAGGGTCTGTCTACCCAGAAGTCCGAGGGCGACCGGACCCATCGTCCCGGACCCGACTTCACCGGTCACCTGGATTCAGCACTGCACCCTGACTCCGCAAGAGCTCCGCGACCCCGCGGCAGCCTACGTGGCGGTGGAATCCGAAATAGGTGGGTCACGATCGAGGGGATGACCAAACTGGATGGAACATGCTTTGGTTTGCTGGAATCTCATTTCTGCCTACACCAAAAAGTCTATATCTTGTTCATGATCATCAAGAATCATCATGAATCCATAAATATACGATATATATATATATAACTATATATATATAATATGAAACCACTAGACTGCGGAACCAATGGCCCAAGAACACAGGCTTGACTCAGCGAACACATCTCTATCTCTCTCTTTGTGGTTTTCACCCAGAGCTGACGTGGAGAGGGGATTCAACATCATCCATAGTTCCCTCAACATGAATTCTTCATTGGAAACAGGTCGAAAGGATCTTTTTCTCTGGACAAAGCATGTTCGGTTGACAGCTCAGCCAGCAGGCAGTCTTTGTTTTCAAATCTGGGCATTGAACACCTGCATGATAAGAAGTGTCCTCGTAGCATCTTGCAATTCGGCGGTGTCCACACTCCACACTATTATTTACTGCACCCAGACACTCCGTGGGACTGCCATATTTACATACATTGACCCGTGAAACCACCCCAACGGCAGTCCGGACTGGCAGTCCGGACTGGCAGTCCCAGACGGGTCGTGTCTGGGGCATATCACTTGCATGGTCTTCCCCTCATGACCCAGACCCGAACCTTCTCCCAGTCCCGAATCTGGAGACGCTCGGTGAAAGGACCGGGGACGAAATCGAGGTCCGACCGGGTCCGACCAGTGGTTTGGTCGCGGGCGAGACTCTCCGGGAGTTCAAGACTGGAGACTCTCCAACCCCCTCCAGGGGCGACCCTCCCATCACATGCAGAGAACAGAAAAAGAAACACCACTGCAAACACGAGGAGCCTTTCTTCACTGCCAAGGTCATTGGTTTTCCTGGCTTAAACGACAACGTCTGCTGATGGAGCATGGCTGCTACAAGTCTGACCAGTCTTACCAATTGTGGAACAGTGGATAGGTCAAAACAAAGATCACCAACAAAGTATGGGAGCTGCAATAGATGCCACTCTTGTGTTGTTGTTCCTTCTTGCATCACCTGTCTTTGTAATATATGGTCATCCAGTGCCACCTGAAACTAACCTCACCACACACCTGTGTGTTGCATGATGTGTACGATCCATCGCCAATTGAAACAATCTCCCTGGTCCTTCAGGTGTGGCGGCATTCGCTTGTTCCGGGCGCAGGTGCAGCAATGCCCAGGCCCGGTCGAGTGCCAAGAAGGCTTCCTGGGCGCGGGAACCGCGCTGCAGGCAAGTGGGTCGGACAGATGTTTTGAGGGGATCGGACGTGTTTCGTCCGAACTGCACACATGGCTCTGGCAATATTCTATTCAGAAAGTCAGACGTTTATGGGATTTATTCGGAGATGTATATAGAACCTGCTCCGTGCCCCCCAAGAAGACTGCCCAGGCATCAAATGTTGCTCCACCTGCAGCACTTAAATCCTCCCCAATTAAAACAGCAAGTCGTGTTTTTCGCAGTGCAAGAACGGAATTCTTCAGGGAACCAGAATGTTCAAGCTTTCAAGAACCAGAATCTACTGGGACTGTTCAGCAGAAAGAACCAGAATGTACTGGGGGAATGTGTTGATCAACCTATGACGCTCTGCACGCTGATAGAGCGCCGAAGGCACCCGGTCTCGGACGGAACCGAGACCGGGTGCGGCACCGGGCCACCGCGGCGAGGAGCGAACGCTGGATTTGGGAGGTGAAGTTTGGTATCAATTGGACCACACACATGGCTCTGACTGGACATTTGGATCCAAACCGGCAGACTTCAGTTGACCAGTGACCAAATGAAGGGCGGATGAACAGGATGGCTCCTGGAGGTCCAGTATCAGCCAGGGTACACTCGAGCGGAGCTGTGCGACAAGATGACCTGTGCAAGAGGACTCCGTGATTTCTTTGCTAAGAAAGCTTCTCTTCATCTCCCTTCTTGTTCTTCACACCCTTTGACCTTGCCAATCCCTCATCCTCTGCTCCCCCAGTGCCAATTCCATGTTCTCTTCTCAGGTCATCCGGAATCCCATGTTCATAAGTCACCAGAAAATCCTTTAGAGCATTCTCTAAGTCTATGAACATCCTATCCAAACAACGACGATTACTGTTGTACCCCCGGTTTTGGGTGCTCTCCCCCCATGGTCACCCGCTGTTCATACCCCCCAATTCCTTTGCTCACTCCCAGTACCTGAGAAGCCGCAAAACGAAAGCCAGCGCTTCCCTTTCTCGACAACTGCGCGTCGAAGCAATCAAATGAGCTCGCGCAGCCGCTTGCGGCCGCGTGTCAAATCTGCTTCATGTCTTGTTCTGCCCACACATAGGTAACCATGCAAAGGCAAAAAAATGCATTCTTTCATCACCACCCGCTCCAAAATCACCAAAATATCACCTCCAAGAGTTTACGTATACCTTTCTCGGGCCACCCGCCCGCCGACCCCCGACCGACTTCACACATAGACAGTTCCCATCCACATTCAGATGAAGCAAAAGCCAAACAATGCACCAAAATTCGAGGTGGCCTGGGACCAGAGGCTCGCTGCCCGAAACAATATGTTCAGGCCACCTCAGAAATGAAGATATGCGAAGCAAGGGTCCTGAGGTGTCTCTGTGACAAGGCTTTTGTTAAAACAGACAGTTTTTCAAGCTAAATTCAATGTGGCCTGAGACCAGGGTTTGCTGCCCTAAAACACTCTGTTCAGGCCACCTTAAAAATGAAGGTCTGCGAAGCGAGAGCAGAGGATGCACATTGTCCTTCTGCTGCTTGAATGTGGCCTTTTGTTTATTTAAAAGTTCAAGGCCTCCCAGCTGTTTCCACCTCTTCGCTTCCCAGTCTTCCCAGGGTTCATCTAGGGAGCCAGGCCATTTTCAGAATCTTCTGGATTGAGCTGTTCGAGTTCCTATTGAAGGGTATAGTTGGCGAGTGCGTCACCACCCGCTTCAAAAGCATCAAAGCATCACCCCCCAGAGTTTACGTATATCTTTCTCGAGCCACACATGCACAGCAAACCACAGCTTTGAAGTCTCATTCGTGCTTTGAACTTGCATGGGTGTGTAAGAGGTATAGCAACATAGCATTTATACGGACCCAGGGTAGCTACAATTCTGTTCCCAGGTATCGTGCGCGAGGCTTCAAAGCTGTGGTTTTCAAGCTAAATTCAAGGTGGCCTGAGACCAGGGTTTGCTGCCCTAAAACACTCTGTTCAGGCCACCTTAAAAATGAAGGTCTGCGAAGCGAGAGCAAAGGATGCACATTGCGGGTTCATATAGGGAGCCAGGCCATTTTCAGAATCTTCTGGATTTGAGCTGTTCGAGTTCCTATTGAAGGGTATATGTT